TTTTTATGTTTTTATTTGCTTTAGCAGTAAATGGTCTTTACTGTAACATTCAGAAATAATGTACGTTACAGCATGTCTTTTATATTTTTGTATTACTAATAAGAATGCATTAAGTCCTCAACCAGCCAAAGAGTTCCACCTATTTATTCAATTTCATGTTTGACTAAGGATTTTTTTGTTGTTGTATATGTAGTCAATAAATTACATTCTAAAAACTGATTATGAAATTCCAGGATTACTTTGTAGATTGAAATTAGGACTAAAAAGTGCTCAACCCAATCCACCTAAATGGTGATCCTTATTTTATTGTTCTCAAGTTCGCAACCCTAGAAATGATGGAGTGGAGTGTACGGATGGGTAAGGCCAGGCCAGGTCTGAACCAGTGCAAAACCATTCTTTGATTATTTTTCCATCCATGTCAATGTCTGCACACACTGCAAAAAATATATAAAATATGAGATAATAAAAACTTGGATCGAGTGGTTTTTATCTAAATCTGGCACATTCTGACCGTGTTAAAACTAGATTCTCCACTGGGACAACGTCATTTAGTCTGATTTTAAGAACTGTTGCTTTAGAGAGACATTTCTGTGTCTTCTTTAAAACACAATACTTTTCCTTTGTCCCTTTGGAAAATCCTGTTTAAAAGGCCCAGTCAGAATATGCTCAAATTAAGACACATTTGGCCAAATTTGTGTATTTTTTGACCTTTTCTCCCTCACTTTCTGCAGCCAGAACATTAATATTAGTATTTCTACTTTCTGGGAGTGTGTGACTGATGCAATAGAGAATGTATTTGAGGAAGTATCCCGCAGGTGGGCTCCAGTCCTGATCAGGAAAGAGCAAAACTTGTCACAGCGAGCAAAGAAAGAGAAATCTGGACACGGACAGCCTTGAGGATCACTCTTGAATCTTCTTTATGTGTTGTTGTTGCTTGGCTCGGATCGTCAGGGGCAACCAGATTTTCTAAACAATATAAGTGGTACACAGTAGAAAAGTAGGTTTTGAAATACATTCTTCATGGCTCACTCATGCATCAGTTTTGGTCAGTGGAGTTTCTGTTTTACATCAGAGCTTTACGCAAGAGCAGCAAAAGTCTTAAAGGAGCTATACCTGTTTCTGCAAGGTTTTAATGTTTAGCCCCGCCCCTCAACTCGCTCACAGGCTTCTCATTTCCCCTACGCTCTCATTCCACGGAGCCATCTAGTTTTATTTGCGATCCGATACATATGCTAACATTAGCATGAGCACGACTTCTTGTAAGCTGTGCAACAATCACTGATGAAATGGTACAAAAGCAACGCACTGCTAACACAATATATAACTGAAAGATTACCGCTAGTTTTGCGTCCAAATTTAGTCCGAGCGTAGATAGTCCGAGCGTAGATAGTCCGAGCGTAGATAGTCCGAGCGTAAATAGTCCGAGCGTAAATAGTCCGAGCGTAGATGGTCCGAGCGTAGATAGTCCGAGCGTAGATAGTCCGAGCGTAGATAGTCCGAGCGTAGATAGTCCGAGCGTAGATAGTCCGAGCGTAGATAGTCCGAGGCGGTCCCGCAGGTCTCTCCCATAGACAAGTCTCTCCAGAGGATACGATGTAAGCTAGCTCTGTTCAGGGCTTGATTTCTTCTTTGATCATGTTTTGGCTTTAGTTCCCCCTTCTCTTCCTCACTGTTGTGTGGTTTGGGCTGTTTTGCTGTGTCTGCAGTTACAACCAGAGGAGTTATAGCCACTTATGCTAACATGCTACTGTGTTTAGCAGCGCTGTAGATGCTAGAGGACGCAGCCTCGTTCTGTGATTGGAGGAGAGCGGGCGTCACGCTAAAGTCTCTACTCAGCACTTTTTACGACCTGAATTCATACACAGCTGAATCAATGAGCTCAAGTTATCAAATTAAATTACAGATTATAATACAACTTGTATGTAGTAATAAGCATTTTTATGAACTCATCAAAAAATAAATCGGGTGTAGCTTCTTTAAGAACGGAAGTAAATGAAACACATCCTTTATCAGGACGACTGAAGCTGGAGGATTTTACCTTCTACACATTACACTGCAAAAAGAGAAAATAAAGACGTAGATCACATTGTTTATTTACTTTTTTACTCATGTTACCTAAAGAAACTTAAAATAATAATTATAATATTACTTGTTATTAATATTTTAAAAGTTATTTTGCCTGAACGAACATTTTCTGTTGTAGTAGCTATTTCTGTTTGGGGTTTTTTGAGCCACTTTTAGCAGTGTAGTCTTAGGAGAAACCGAAGCACCTGGAGAAAACCTACACATACAGAAAGACCCTGTCCCGACTGGGATTTGAACCCATGCACTAGTATAAAAAAGTGGATTATTATAATTAACAGATTATTCTATTCTCACAATAGTATCTTTGTATTATTCTTATTTTTAAGTTGTTACTTTATTGTTATATTAATTTTTTGTGGAATATTATGCAAGCTACTGTGACAATGCAATTCCCTTTGTAGATCAATAAAGTCTGTGTAAGTCTGAGTCTAATATAAATAATGAAAATCTTTTAATAACTTCAGTAAAAGGCAACGTTTTTGGGACAACTTTCGGTTGTTTTAAAATAGTGTCATGTTGGCAGAGAATATACAATAAACAAAGATTTTTCCCTAATTTGGTTATCGTGGCTGAAAATAGCACTTTTTTGCGTTATTTTGTTGTTAGAAAATTAGCTAAGTGGGTAATTTCATGTTATTGTTACACATGTATATATGTGTAATAACAACAAAAAAATCACTAAAGAAAAAAACAACATGTATAGATTTATTTGGGTTTAAAAGTAAAAAAAGTTGCTCAAAAAATATGTATAATAAGTACTCACACTGGGAAATGCACTAAAAAAAATGCATTTGTAAAGGGACAAAGTAACCCGCTTGGCACTGTTCTTTCCCATATGGTACTCGGCTTGTACTGATAATATATTTACTGCTTGTACGTTCGGTCTTGCCGTATGGATCTGCTCTCTGCCCCTTTCCATCCACGAACAGCGGTCACGTCAAAAACACGTCACTTCCCATTAGTCACACAGTGGACCTAATTATCGATGCCATAATGAATAAAGTCAAAATGGTAAACTTGGCATGTGTGGCCGAGACTACAGGCTAAATGCTAACTCCGCTCACAGACACACACACACAAAAACAGACACAAAAACAGACACACACATGCTTCTTCTCTGGCTGTCTCGGGGGGCCGCTTTCATGTCCAAAACATTTCATTATTCCAATCCAAACTGCACAGAAAATTAAGCACTCCGGGGGGAATATCCATATTTAATCTTTTTTTTTCATCTCGTTACTAAAGTGGCTTGTACATATTTGCAACCGAGTGGGAAAAATCAGGATAATGTGTGATGTGGTGTTAGCGTAATTTCTCCGGATATCAGAAGTGATCAATGTTTCATGGACGTTCTGTTGTATGACACACAAACGGATAAGTACAAAGGGAGTGTTTGTTGTATGCTAATCATTTACATTTGTCATGCTAACACAGATCAACTTTAATAGCTGTAGAAGAACTATTAGCAGCTCGGAGAAAAATCAATTTGTAGTGTCATGAATTCTTAATCTAGGCTGTGTTTTTTAAATTAGATAAACAGAGGTGATGAAATGTGAATTCAAGCTACATATAGTTAGTATGGTATAACTTAAGCATTATTCTCTCCTCTCTTCCTACTGACTCGGGTTAGGGCTTCAGTTGTCCTGGATCTACAGCCTCAGTCCTGGATCTACAGCCTCAGTCCTGGATCTACAGCCTCAGTCCTGGATCTACAGCCTCAGTCCTGGATCTTCAGCCTCAGTCCTGGATCTACAGCCTCAGTCCCGGATCTACAGCCTCAGCCCTGGATCTAAAGCCTCAGCCCTGGATCTACAGCCTCAGTCCTGGATCTAAAGCCTCAGTCCTGGATCTAAAGCCTCAGTCCTGGATCTAAAGCCTCAGCCCTGGATCTACAGCCTCAGCCCTGGATCTACAGCCTCAGCCCTGGATCTACAGCCTCAGTCCTGGATCTAAAGCCTCAGTCCTGGATCTAAAGCCTCAGCCCTGGATCTACAGCCTCAGCCCTGGATCTACAGCCTCAGCCCTGGATCTAAAGCCTCAGCCCTGGATCTAAAGCTTCAGTCCTGGATCTAAAGCCTCAGTCCTGGATCTAATTGACTGTTTAGTCATGAGGCTCAAATACCAAAATTCAAATGTAGTCAAACCCAATCATAAATATAATCTATAACTCGTGTATGACGGCAGACCTTGCACTAACAGTCTCTTCACTTAATAATCACAGTGAGCATGGATGGAATATGCCCTTGACAGGACACCAGCTTGTTCTTGCGCCCTGCATAATCCCCCCTCCCCAAAACATCACTTCTAATTCCACTAATCTGGGTCACACACAAGCTGACCCAGACAGACCTCCTCACCCACCCCTCACGCACACACATAACTAAAACCTCAGCCATTATGACCATCGCTAATAGCCCCGGCTTCCCTGACAATGAGCGGCCAATCCGGTTAGCCGTGACTGACCACTTCAAAACACCAAAGCCCCTGATTGGTCACGGTCAGTGTGGCAGGAAGCAGATTAGCGCGGCATGGTGTCTGGATGCGCACAAAGGGAGTGTGGCAATCTGTGTGGCGACTCCTCACACGGGAATACAAAAGGAGATATGACAAATATGCAATCTCATTTCTCGGCCTGTCACTCCAAAGCGCTGGCGAGTGGAGACCGGGCAAAGTCGACGTTGTGTTGAATCAATATTATGCTGGGTTTGATTACTAAAACAATTGGAATAATGAGTGAAGGATGTGTTGATTTTGGTAAAGCCGCAAATTTGAAACAATGTCAAACAATAGTCTTGGCTGCTCCAGTACTACATCCGATACAAGGGCCTCCTCCTCCCCTTCAAGTCCCTCCAAAACCCTTCTGAACCCTGAGGGACCGAGCCTTCTGAACCCCGAGGACCGAGCCTTCTGAACCCTCAGGACCGACCCTTCTGAACCCTGAGGGGCCGAGCCTTCTGAACCCTGAGGGCCGAGCCTTCTGAACCCTGAAGACCGAGCCTCCTGAACCCAGAGGACCGAGCATTCTGAACCCCGAGGACCGGGCCTTCTGAACCTTGAGGACCGAGCCTTCTGAACCCTGAGGACCGAGCCTTCTGAACCCTGAAGACCGAGCCTTCTGAACCCTCAAGACCGAGCCTTCTGAACCCTGAAGACCGAGGCTTCTGAACCGGAAGGGACTGAGCCTTCTGAACCCTGAGGACCGAGCCTTCGGAACCCACCGAGCCTTCGGAACCCCGAGCCTTCTGAACCCTGAAGACCGACCCTTCGGAACCCTGAGGACCGACCCTTCCTGAGGACCGAACCTTCTGAACCCTGAGGACCGAGCCTTCTGAACCCCGAGGACCAAGTCTGAACCCTGAGGACCAAACCTTGGGGGACCGAGCCTTGGCCGCAGCTGCCTCCCACTCACTGAAAGTCCAACTCACTACAGAACTTTAAATCACTTCACAAACCTACCAGTTTCACCTTGCCTTACCTTAATTGTGTTCTTCAATGTATATTTTTCATGTTTTATAAAGCATCCAAAAAAAGACAATATATAAGTGTAACGTATTATTATTATTATTAATGGTAGAAATAAAATAATTCAGTTCTTCAATACCAGACAATAATAAGTAAGTATTAGCTTCGGAGGCAAGAATAAAATTATTGTATATTCTATTGCACATTCACATTCTGACGTTGGGATTGCCGCTCCCACTACAACCATTACCACTTATTCAACTCGGACAAAAAACTGCACGATACTATTCTATACTTCAAGCAACGGTTTGAATAGATAACCTCTTGAATATGTCTGTTTAGATTAGCTGGAACATAAGGCTGCTGACCTGCTCTGAACCCCCCCCCCATAGATCTGCACTCTGCCCCTAACTGCTAACATATGGACACAGGGATGGGGTCCTGAGAAACCGACGGGGCGATAAGTGAGAGTGACGTGTTTATGGTCTTTAAAGGAGGCAGGAATGTGCTCAAACCTGTGGGAGGACGCTAATGGTTCAAGTACAATCTCTATAATTTAACAGGTTATCAATGAACACAACAGACACTCAACAAAATGAGGTAATAATTGTTTGGATTGAGGGGTTTTAATCAAAATTTTAGCACTTTCTGACTGTCTTAAAACAAGATTTTCCAATGGGACAAAGGCAGTTAGTCCTTTTTCTGAAACTACTGCTGTATTTTCCTCATTGTATCTTTTTAAAACTAAAATACAATTGGCTTTATCTCTGTTTCAAGGCTCAGTCAGACAGAATGTGCTCCAACTTAGATACATTTTGACAATTTTAACACTTTTTGCAGTGAAGGCGTTTGACTAAAAGTAGTGCCGGGCTTTAAAATCACTACACAATGTCCAACACTATGTCGTCTATTGTTCCGGTTGAGTTATCGCAAGCATGTATTTGCAGACATGAAAGTGCTAAAAGCCAGTTTGCCAGTCGGCTCTCAAAAAAAAAAATTCTCTGATTTTTTATGAAAAAATCTGACCTTTCGTATGGTTCAATGCTTATCTGGAGAGAAATGCTTAACTAAAGAAAATTGTCGTCTAAAGTAATACTCTTATTGCTGGTCATTAACCCAAACCCAATGCTTTATAAAGAAATGAGAAAATATTATAGTATTCATTCATTAAAGTAGCTGTGCAGCAGTAATAGTAATAGCCTCTCAGCAAGAAGGTCCTTGGTTCGAATCCCGGTCGGACCAGGGCCTTTCTGAGTGGAGTTTGCATGTTCATGTTCTGCGTAGGTTTCCTCCGGGTATTCCGGTTTCCCCTACCACTAAAAACATGTTCAATAGGCCTGGCATGCACCGCCTGTACTGGCGACTCCGCTCCCATCTCTGTGTGGAGTGAGAGACAAAAATAACAAGTGTAAACCGCTTTGTGACTCTGGTCTGTGAAAGGCGGTGTATAAATAAAGATTACTTACTTACTTACATTACTAGTGGTGGTAGCAGTAGTAGTAGCAGTATTAGTAGTCTATGTTCTGTATACACATAAATCTGGCAGGCCTGTATATGTATTACTTTTATCTCTGTGCAGCACTTTGGACTTTATAAAATGTCTTTATAAAATGTGCTATATAAATAACATGGATTGGTTTTAGCAAATAGCAGTAGTTGGATTTATCTACCAAACTTCCACACAAAAGCCTCCGCAAAGTCTATACCGCAAACCCAAAATGTCATTGTAAAACCTCACACACACTGAACATCTTAATCCACTGGTTAATTTTGTGTCGTATCCTAGTTTCAATGCGTACCAAAGGCGCTATATACATAAACTTTACTTACTTACTTACTTAATATTTGTCCCAGTCCTGTCCCTGGAGAGCGGCGGGGAGAATCTATGCCAGAACACCACTTAAACACATTGCTGGTTGGCACTTAATAGTCCCTGTGGTCTCATGGGCACGGGCTTCGATGCTGGGATGCTTCTTTTGGCAATAGAGAAAGCAGGAATAGACCAGATTTTGTCCCAGATAATAACGGCCTCTCACGATTCCCAACCGAAAAAAGACGGGTCAACATTCCTGAGCGGTTAACGATATCTTTGCTGGGGTTTGCAGTATATTTCTGACCAATATATCGATAATTGTCATATCGTGATATAATCGTTAACCATGAGCTTTGTATCGCGTATCGTATCGTGAAGTACCGTGTATATTATTAGTATTTTTTTCTTATTTTATCCCCCCTCCCAACCCGTCCCCCCATCTTGTATGATAAACACAATAAATATATCAGTCATAAAAAAGAGAAAGAAATTAAGAGTACACAATGGGGAAATATCATAGTATTCATTAATTAAAGTAGCTGTTCAGTAGTCGTAGTACTAGTAACAGAAGTAGTAGTAGTAGTAGCAGTTGTAGAAGTAGTAGCAGTAGCAGTAGTAGCAGTAGTAGTAGCAATATCAGTAGTAGCAGTAGTAGTAGTAAAAGTAGTAGAAGTAGTAGTAGCAGCAGTAGCAGTAGTAGCAGTAGTAGTAGCAGTAGCAGTAGTAGCAGCAGTAGTAGTATAAGTAGTAGTAGTAGCAGTAGTAGAAGCAGTAGCAGTAGTAGTAGCAGTAGTAACAGTAGTAGCAGTAGCAGTAGTAGTAGCAGTAGTAGTAGTAGGAGTAGCAGTAGTAGCAGTAGTAGCAGTAGCAGTAGTAGTAGTAGCAGTAGTAGCAGTAGTGGCAGTAGTAGTAGTATAAGTAGTAGTAGTAGCAGTACTGGGACTTAATCATCCCTGTGGTCTCATGGGCACGGGCTTCGATGCTGGGATGCTTCTTTCGGCGACAGAGAAAGCAGGAATAGACCAGATTTTGTCCCAGATAATAACGGCCTCTCACGATTCCCAACCGAAAAAAGACGGGTCAACATTCCTGAGCGGTTAACGATATCTTTGCTGTGGTTTGGACGAGATATCCGTCTTTTTCAACGGCACAATGCGACAGGGGTATTGGGTTACGTGGAAGAGGACGTCTGCTTGTCAAACTACTTAGCATTAACCCGGGTTAAAAGAATGGGCATTGGATTCTGGAATTTTCTAAGTCTAGTTTTGGGATCTTGGCATCTTTTCGAAAGCTTTCAGGATGCTGGAGGCTCGAGCTTCGGTTACAAATTACAGTGCAGGATGCCAGGCCGCCTTTTCTATCACTATTTTTACCTTTTAGCAAAGCCATTCTCATGCGGTTAAATACTTAGGAATGTACTTATAAAAGCAAATCCATGTTTTAACTGAATTTGAGGATGGGGAAAAAGCTGACAGTATGGGCTGGATGGTCAGTATGCCATCCACGACTATCCAAGTCTTTTGTATATAATGAGACTAATGGGGTTTGGTTCAAATTAACTGGGCCAACTGTGGATCACTGGAGGCAAAATTACTTTTTTTGCAGATGTAAAATAATCAAACAAGTGAGCATGTGTTTAGGCCTGTCACGATAACAAAATTTTGCTGGACGATTAATTGTCTCAGAATTTATTGCGATAAGCGATAATATTGTCGTTCTGAGATCATTTTCATCTAATACAATACAGTGTATCGTCCAGAGACCTTCCAGAAACTTTATATAACAGCAGTATGTGTTCAGGGAGGTGCACCATCAGTTTATTTCATTATTAAACGGTACTTCCGCATCGGCAAACACGCTAACACTAACTGCGCTAGCACTAGAGCCTAAATGAAAACTTAGAGGCTGGCATAAGTTCACAACTACTGTGTCCCCCTTTGTCAATCCTGGTTTAGTCCTAATTAAGTCCTGGTTTAGGTCCAGTTTTGGCTGTATTTTGTATTTTTGAGTAATTTCAGTCTGCTTGCTAGACCGCTAGGGTTCCCATGACCACTTTGCGGCTCTCTAACCCGAGAGAGAGGGAGAGAGCGAGACGGGGAAAACCAACAAGCATGCAAATGGAATTTATTGCAGCCAGAAAAATTATTAAGGTAATTTTTGATTATTGTGCGATTAATTTATTTATTGAATATCGTGACAGGCCTACATGTGTTTACTGGTTGGCATGATTTAGGTTTATTTCCCATTTATTTACAGACTGTACCTGTGCCTTGCCTACTTCCTGTTGTCCGCATACCTTCGTAACTGTCCTATGTGTCTTTGTCCTTTCAACATTTACTTTTTGGTATTTTTACCCTGGATAATTCCTTGTTTTTACGTGTACGATATCACTTATTTTTACAGTCGGGCATTTAGGGTCCTTCCTTGTTTTTCCCCTTTAAACAATAGTCACAATTTCGATACAGGTTGCCAGGTTTGGTCCTGTTTAAGGGAAAGAGACCAGTGTGAATGAGCCCTTAGAGTCAATATATCGGAAAAATGGTAAAATCTTATTGTTTACAGTTGGTTTCATGAAACTACTGAAGTAAAATATCAAATTTCGACGATAGCAAGACTTTCTCCATTTCCCATTCCGAGCTAAATTAGGCAACACAACCACATGGTAAATCAAAACGTCTGCTAGCCGTCCAGTATCCAAGCCCAACGAGACCAACATTCACAATAACACACACATATTTGAATCCATATTTTCAAACTTAAATCTTTTTTTTTCAGTTTTTTCTCTCTCCGTGTCAACTATTCAGGACTTTGCATAAATAACGGCCGTACAACTTGACTCCAAACTTCCGTCATCAATGCCATCTGTATAGAAATGCCCTCGCCACTTATCCTCTCCGCGGGACAACGCAAGCTGCCAGGTCTGAGCCGATTGTGCTTATTATCACCATTTTTTGAGGTCGCCATGGAAACGTCACGCTTGTCGCCCGTGCGCTGGCCGTGATCAAAAGAGCGCGGCGGAGTGAATGGAATGAACTGGACTGGACTGGAGCGGTGAATGAACCCAGAGGGGGAAGATTTTGACAATGGGATATGAGCAAATGGAGGATGATTGGAGGACAATTAGCAGCTCTGGCTAATGTCGACAACGGTTTGAAGATTTCTTGATAGAGAAATTGTCAAACAAGTCCGTGGCTTTAGGCAGTCCTTGAAGTTTGAAGAATTTTGAAACATCTTGGTAAATGTAATTATTATTATTATTAAGGTATGTGCGGTTTATTTCACTATGCTTGAGGTTGTTGCTACGTCCAGAATGCCACCTTACGGAATTTGACTCAAAAGTAGGACCTAGTCGGCAAAACAAAACACAAAACGAGGTAATAATTGTTTGGATTGAGTGGTTTTAATCCTAATTTTAGCACATTCTGACTGTCTTAAAACAGAATTCTCTAATGGGACAAAGGTATTTAGCATTTTTCTCAAACTACTGCTGTATTTTCCTCATTGTATCTTTTTAAAACTAAAATAAAATTGGCGTTATCTTTTGTTTTAAGGCTCAGTCAGACAGAAGGTGCTCCAA